CTTCAGCAAGTCAAGAGTGGAAAGAGAGATTTATTTTCACTCGATGACTTTCCCTACTTTTGAATTTTGTTTCATTTATTTATTCTCATTTAATAAATAATTAAAATTCTTAAAAGGAAAGGACCTTAAAGGTCATCAAGAAACACCATCATCAGTGGTTTCTTCCCACCATAGGACCTTGTACTATCTGTCTTTCTTCCCAAAATGATCTTCTCTACCCTGCTCACCCTTTGGATTTCAACTCAGCTGAGAGCTCTACATCAGTCTTCTCTGACCTTTCCAACAAGGTCAAGTACTCTTCTACCTATTCTTGTAATGCCATGTGCCTTTCCATCCAAATATTTTCCCCAGTTGCATTTCTACATGTATTTTTGTGATTATTTGATTCATATTTGTCTTTTCCCACTAGGTACAAATTCCTTGAGAAAAGGATCCTGGGTTTTGCTCACCAGTATATCCATGTAATTTGGGACATAGTAGCATACCTGGTGTACTGATTCATAAACAGTGAGTGAGTACCTTTACTACCCCCATATTCCTGCCAGCAGGTCATCAGGCCTATTCTAGAACTCCTAAGAATGTGGACTTCACAGTTTCTCCAAGCTGTCCATTATACTTTAAAGATACTTCTAAAAGTTAAAAATGTCAACCTGAATTGTTGTATTGAGCTGAAATGAACTTCCACCCATTGGATTTAATTCTACTCTTAGTAACACACAAAACAGGACTAATCCCTCTGCTAGATGATGATTTTTGAAGAATCTGAGCACCAGGGTCTTCATTTTACCTAGCTAGCAGTCTTTAGATCATAGCTACTAAGCTGTTATCTCCTTCAGGGCAGGGAGGGTATCATTCATCTCTGTATCTGTATTCCCCAACTCTGGGCTTGTCTTAGCATATGTTATTTTAATATAATCAATTTTTATATGGCAATTTTTTCTTTCTTTTTTTTTTTTTTTAGCCAAAGTGCACAGCAAGCAAGATGTGAGTTTACTGACCAGGGATCGAACCTGTACCCCCTGCAGTGGAAGTGGAGTCTGCACCACTGGACCAGGGAGTCCTGGCCGCTCTTGTATTACTCACTTCTGAACACACTCCACTTTTCCTGGTTACCTCCCTGCTGTCTCAGACGGTAAAGCGTCTGCTACAGTACAGACCTGGGTTCAATACCTGGGTCTCTCCTGGAGAGGGAAATGGCAACCCACTCCAATATTCTTGCCTGGAAAATCCCATGGATGGAGGATCCTGGTAGACTATAGTCCGTGGGGTCACAAAGAGCTAGACATGACTGAGTGACTTCACTTCACCTTCACTCTTAACGCACCAGCCGAAATTATGGACAAATATCATAGGTGTAGTCTTCCCAGTGTACCTCCTTCCTTCCATTGTTCGTATCTCTAACTAGTCATAACCAAGAGCCCATGAACTTTGAAGACAGCCACTGATGATACATAATTAGTCTTGTTTGTGTTGGTTTCCTTTTTTTCTCTTTGCAGATCTCCTGTCTGTACCCTAGAGCATTACTGTACGTACGACCTTATTTATTAAAATACTGCCCTCAGCTGCTCATGTTAGCATCTCTTTGTCTCTCAGACTTTCTAAAGTGAGACCAGCAGCTTCATGAAATGCCACAGTCCCTCACCAAAAAGGATAATGCCATTTAAAAATAGGTCCACTTGGAACCTTCCTACACTGTTGATGGTAAATGGGTACAGTTACTATGGAAAAGAGTATGGAGGGTTCTTAAAAGACTCAAAATATAGTTACCATATGATCCAGCAATCCCACTCCTGGGCATATACCCAGAAAGGACAAAAGCTCTAATTCGAGAAGATAACATGCATCCCAATGTTCATAGCAGTACTGTTTACACTAGACAAGAAATGGAAGCAACCTAAATATCTATCAACAGATGAATGGATAAAAAAGATGTTCTATATATATATGTGTGTATATATATATATATCACTCATATAAAAAATGAAACAATGCCATTTGTAGAAAAATGGATGGAGCTAGAGATTTTCATACTAAATTAGGTAAGTCAGACAGAGAAAAACAAATACTATATCACATATATGTGGAATCTAAAAAAATAGTACAGATGAACTTATTTTCAGAACTGAAACAGACTCACAGACTTATGGTTACTAAAGGGAAAAAAGTGAAGTGAAAGTTGCTCAGTTGTGTCTGACTCTTTGTGACCCCATGGACTGTAACTCACCAGGCTCTTCCGTCCATGGAATTCTCCAGGCAAGAATATTGGAGTGGGTAGCTGTTCTCTTCTCCAGGGCATCTTCCCAACCCAGGGATCAAACCCAGGCCTCCCACATTGCAGGCAGATTCTTTACCAGCTGAGCCACCAGGGAAGCCCACTAAAGGGGAAGAAGGGATTATAAAATAGGGACCATGGGATTAACAGAAGCACACTCGCATACATAAAATAGAAAAATAAGGATTTACTGCATAGGTCAGGGAACTATATGCAATATCTTGTAATAACCTATAATGGAAAAGAGTCAAAAGAAAGAATGTGGATATATACATATACAAGTATAACCAAATCACTTTGAGGTACACCTGAAACTAACACAATGTTGTAAATCAACTATACTTCAATTTAAAAAAATAGGTCCACTTGGTGTGGCAAATATTACCCAAGGCAATGCTACATTGTTCCCCTCTGTCCCACCTTTACTCAATGAGCACCTTCAGAGAGGAAAGAGAGAGTGTTTGAGCTTCAAGTAAGAATTTTTTTAAATGGCCAGCCTCTTTAATCATCAACTCTGATGCTCAGAACTGTCATTAGATCCATTTGCAAGGGCTCTCAAATGCTGAATCTAAGCTCTTAGCACTAGATAACTTCTGGGTAAGCGTGAGCATGGGCACATCGTTGGTAATGTGCACAGTGCTTGGCAGAGTGCCATGAGGCCCATACGTCGAGGATAACTTCTCGGTCTTATAGCCAAGATCAAGAGGAGAGCCAGTCAGTCTCCGACATTGTCATAATTCCTCTGTGGGGAACATGTCCTGACCCGGTAAAGGGATGGACACGATGATTTAGTTTCTTTTTCATATTCAGCTTTCATGAGCTATATGACAAATGGATAAAGGATCAGAGCACCCTGAGAACTAATGAACCAGAAGGAGAAATTCATTTAATGACTTAAGTGTGCTTTATCTAATGTGAAATGTAGGTCAATTCATTGTAAATTTATTCATGGGGATTATTTTTTCTTAGCCTGATTACATGGCATGTATTGTAAGAATTCAGCCCTGGGTAACGCAGGACAGACCCTGCTTGTCCCTCCTCATCCTTCTCCAACCCTCTCCCCCCACCACCGTCCCCATACACATGCTGGTAAAAACCCAGCAATATCCATCAGTGCTTGTCTCAATAGAAAAACCGTATTTTAGACCAATAAAAAATTGATTTGGAGCTCTTTATTACATTTTTGGAGACACTTGGAGTAATCTAAAAGCTAAATACAAAAATTCAGATCTATTGCTGAATTTGCAGTCAAAACAAAGATCAGGCAATAAGAAGGGTATTTCAGCATTCTATGGGTCCAAGCCGGGTATGTGTCACCAGAGAGACAAATTTTTCACATGCAGCATCCAGGGAACAAATTTTATGATGTTTGGGTAGTAACTCCTTCTCAATTCTAATTTTAAAAAGCCAAGACAGCAATCTCCTGAGGCTTATTGTAATCATCATTATTATCATTTTGTAAAATTGAGATTAGTAACTGATAGTCCAATTTGGATGAATGTTTCATTAGCTTCATTACCTCTTATAATCAAAAAGAAGGTTCAGTTTTTGGTCCTAAAATACAAGCCAGTAAAGCATTTAAAGATTTGAATGAAAACTTAAGAAAAATGTTTTATTGTTCAAAACAAGTGCCCATAAGATCCATATTTTCAGAGGAAAAAATTTATGGGGGCCTAGTTCACATTAGTATCATAGGTCATTTATTACAGTAATGTGAAAATCCTGTGGTTTATGAAAAGTCACCTTTCTGACTTGGAAAAAAAGAAAATGGAATTTAAATTTCTTTTCCTTTTCTAATTTAAGTTTCAAGGTAACTGGAGAAGGAAAGTGTAAGGAAATACTAAGAAACATTAATTTGGCATTGAGCACTTAGCAAGGTAAAGAGAAGAAAATGTCATACTTTCCCCCAAACCAATTTCATCTCCAAGACAAAGAGCAACGTGGCCTTTGAATGATTCTGTAAATTCCAATGAATTTTATAGAATAGGAAAGAACATTACTTTGGGGATTTTTGTCTCAAAACTGTGAACTTAAATGCCTTCTCCTCATCTCCCCTGTGGAACAGTTGTTTAAAACAATGAAGGACCCTGGAACAATCTCCTAAGTAACTTTGGAGTTATAAAGGACTTCTTAAGTCCCATAAAAAGGCAGTGTTAAATTGCACTGTTCCTGGAAGAACTGTGGAGAAGGAAATGGCAACCCACTCCAGTACACTTACCTGGAAAATCCTATGGACGGAGGAGCCTGATAGGCTACATACAGTCCACGGGGTCTCAAAGAGTTGGACACGACTGAGTGACTTCAATTCAATTCAATTTGGAAGAATTAGCCTTGGAATATAAGTAATAATAATTCCCTATATTTGTTTTATTTTTTTATTTTTTATTTTTTTGAAAATATGCGATGTTTTATTAGCTGCATACATTTCAACAAACAAGTTGGGGACACAGATTTGGCTATTTAGATTATTAAAAATATTTATTATAAGCAGGTTTCTTTTCCCATATTTAAGAGAAAACACATGACTGGAAATATTGAGATGGAAACTGGGTTAAACCAATTCCCAAGTCCTTACCAAGTAATTAACCAATAAAGGAAAAGATACTTTGGAACTAAAAATTAGGGAAGCCTATACACAATTTAGACATGGGTGGGGAGGGAAAAATAAATCAAAATGAAGTCAGATCATTTACATTTTATAGCCTTCAATTCAGCACATAAAACTGTACTATTTAATGTATTTCTCCATGAACTTTTTGTGAAATTCAGATCGAAGCGTATCATTTACAAATCTTTTGTCTTTCTTCTGATCATCTACACCTTTTGCACAGTTCTTGAAGACAACATCATCATCCCACCTTCTTTTGAAGTTGGCCTGAGGCTGGGATGGGCCAGTGAGATTAAGAAGAGGGTTTCCACTCAGAATGTTTTCCATACGAATCCTTTCTTCTTCAGCCTTTTGTTCTTGTTCCTTCTTGGCCTGCTCTTCAGCTCTTTCTTTTTTAATTTTTTCCAGCTCTGCAAGAAGAGCTGCAGTGTCGTCATCATCACTCTCCTCTTCAAAATCTTCATCTTCATCTTCCTCATCTGTTAGGGGGTCATCTGCATCAAGGTTGGCAGCAGGAATCTGGTCCAATCAGGGCTTCTTTGACACTGAGGAAGAAGTTGTATGTTCTCGGGTTGGCCGATCTCTGTTTTTCTCTCTTGCAGCAGCTCTCTCTCTCTCTTCCAACTCTCTCTTGAAGTCACAGTTTCGAACCTCTTCAGGGGCATCCTGAGTGGTCTGTCTATATTTTATCTTTGTATGAGAGGGTAGGTCTCTGCTTGAATACTGCTTTGACAGCTGGCTCAAATCACCCTCACCTTTTCCTCTTCCACCTCTTGCAGGTTCAAAAGTTGGCTGAGCTGCTGTTGTCATCTTTTATGTTTGGCCGAGCTCCGACGCCGCTGCCTCTGGAGATCATACAGACGCCATCATGACTGCTCCCAGAAACCTCTCCCTATATTTGTTTTAAATCTTACAGTTTATAACTTGCTTTCATGCACACAATTTTATCTGATCCTCATATTGTCCTGTGGTGCTCAGCAGAATTTTATCTTGCGTGGCAGTGGGGGTAGGGAGGATGGTGATCTATAGTTATCAGCAAAGGACAAATCACATCTACTTAACGTCTCCTGATCACAAAGTGCTGAACACATGGTTTGGTGTCTATGTAAATAAATTAGCTTGCCTTTAAAGGCCTGGATATACTAAAACCCTCCACAACTTTAAGCCCAATTGTGGGGATTAGGCAATAAGGATGGGAGCCTGACTGAGGGGCTCATGTCTCCAACTCACTCTCAGTCAAGGCACTAGGTCATTGAGATGAATGGCTAGTGGAGGTGAGCAACCCATTTATTTATTTATTTATTTATTTTAAATATTTATTTGTTTATCTATTTATTTGGCTATGCTGTGTCTTAGCTGCTGCACATGTGATCTTTAGTTGTGGCATGTGGGATCTATTTCCCTGACCAGGGATTGAACCTGGGTCTGCTGCACTGGGAGCACGGAGTCTTAGCCAATGGGCCATCAGAGAAGTCCCACCCAACCTGTTTAGATTCTTATTATCTCTCTCTCTCTTTTGCCAAGTGTTTAGTTGCAAAAGTCAGAGTCTCACCAAGAGAAGAAAAACTACTCTGGATATTCAAATAGATGGGCTTGAATATAGGGAATTGGTATATAGATAGATATACTCAGATAGATAGATAGAATATACTAATAGATAGATAGTATCTATAGTATTAGAATAGATAGATAGATATACTCAGATAGATAGAAATGCTCAGAAGATGAGAGCTGAGAAGTCAAACAAAAGACAGTGAAGATATCAAAAGTCTCCTAATTTCCGGAAGCCTCTACCACCCCTTGGATGAAGGAAAACAGAAAGAAGTGTAACCAGGATCTGTGGGCTGGGATCACTGGAGTTAAACTGGAACAAGGGGGGCCAGCTTTGAAGGAAGTGGAGCCATAAAGGAGATGCCATCCAAGATGAGGTGAGGGAGAAATACCCCGGCCTCTCCTTCCTTCTGTCTAGTCTCCAGCTAGCTCCTCTCTTTAGTGGAACATAGCTGCCAGCCAGCAGACAATGGAGTCAGATGCAGCTTGTAGGGATCGGTCTGCTTGCCCAAGACACAGAGCAGATAAAAGGTGAGAAATGGAGCTGAGGATAAACAGAACCAGGACCTGCATAATAAGTAAACTTCTCTTCGTGACAGTTATAGCCTGTACTTTACATTATGCACATTACGTTACATTACATTACGCACAAACTATATATTAAATGTGCATATGATGTGACATCACCAGATCCATTACCAGTTGCAATTTACAGATGAGGAAGCTAAGCTCCAAGTTTAATAATTTGCCCAAGTTTACACACTTAAAAAATGTTAGAGCTTGGTCTATTTTTCTGATTATTACATCTACTGCTATGATCGCTATCCTGGTTCCTTCCATTTGAATATGTTGGAGAAGGGCTAGGATAATCTGAGATTTTAAAAACACAGATAGATGCTTAGAATGAAACTAGTCCAAGGCATTTCAAGCTGGGTACCCTGGAGCTCTGAGATCCATAGAAACTCCCCAGACAGAGTCAACAGGATCCCAAACTCCACCCTCCACCGCAAACTTTGTGGCAGCTTATTCTTTTATGCAGATTTTATTTTAAGAAAAAGATTCTACTAAAAGAGTAAATAGGGGCTTCCCTAGTGGTGGTGGTCCAATGGGTTTCTCTGGTGGCTCAGACAGTAAAGAGTCTGCCTGCAATGTAGGAGGCTCAGGTTAGATTCCTGGGTGGGGAAGATGCCCTGGAGAAGGGAATGGCAACCCACACCAGGATTCTTGCTTGGAGAATTCCATGGACAGAGAAGACTGGTAGGTTATACAGTCCATGGGGTCACAAAGAGTTGGACACAACTGAGTAACTAACATTTTTCACTGCTGGTCCAATGGTTGAGTATCCACCTGCCAATGCAGGGGACACAGGTTTGATCCTTGGTCCAGGAAGATTGCACACGCCGAGGATAACTAAGCTGATGTGCCACAACTACTGAGCCTGCGAGCCACAGCTACTGAAGTGTGAGAGCCTACAGCCTGTGCTCCACAACAAGAGAAGCCCCCACAATAAGAAGTCCATGCACCACAACTAGCGAGTAGCTCTCCGATCGCTGCAACTAGAGAAAGCCCTTGCACAGCAACAAAGTCCCAGCACAGCCAAAAATAGGTAAATGAATTAATTTTAAAAATGAATAAAATAATATTGCTCCAGTCTAGTGATCAGTAGGTCACTAGATCTAGTAATCTCCCTCAAATGAAGTCACTAGGGCCCAGAGAGGGTTAGCCAACAGCAGGCTGAAATCCCGATGCTCTGGCTTGCCCCTTAAGGCTCTTGCCAATGAACCATGCTGTCTGTATCATGACCAGCTAAGACAGAGAGAGACAGTGAGGCAGGGGTAAGAGAAAGAAGTGACAGCGTGAAGAGGCAAAAGACAGAGACCACGCAGGGAAGGATGACTTAAGAAAAAAACAAGAATGAAATCCCCATTCTCTTGAGGATGCTGCTTGAAGGCTTTAATGGCACTGTGACTCTGCACTTGGGGCAAAAACAAGGCTAATTCTGCCAGCAATCTGACCCGTTCACGGAGGGGCCAAGCGAAATCAAGGATAATAGCTCCAAGATGGAAACAATTCAAACGTCCATCATCTGGTGAGTGGATCACACATGGAACATCCAAGTAATGCACAATTCTTCAGCAGTAAGGGTGCAGAGAGCAGCTACAACATGGATGCACTGAGAAAACATTATGCCAAGTGAAAGAAGCCAGACACAAACGACCACATACAGTTTAATTCCATTTGTATGAAATGTCCTCAATAGGCAAATCTATCAGGATATAAAATAGATTAGTGGTTGCCTGAGGCTGGATATGTGAACAAGGAATGACTGCTAAAGGGCAGGACGTTTCTTTCAGGGGTGACAGAAAACGTTCTTGAACTAGATTGTGGTGACAATTGCCCAACTCTGGAAATTCACTAAAAATCCTTGAAAGGTACACTGCAAATGAGTGGATTTTATGGGTGTCAATTTTACTCAAATAAACTGATGTTATTTTAAACACAAAAGATAAATTGAGGGCTGAATCTAGGTTACAGTTTTGAGGTCAAAAAACTAACCCCATAAACATTCACGAGAGAGAAAAATCTTGCCGTATCTGTTCAATGGGTGAGGTGTGGCCCTTCTGCCATTCCTGGGTCAGGTCACAGGGGATCTCATCTATTACTTCCAGCCCAGTAACAGATCTGTCACCTAGTTCAGTCCCGCCCTGAGACTGCCCAGCACCTCCGCTTCCTGGGTTTACAGATCATGAAAGCTACCCAGCTGCAGGTTTGAGATGAATATGATACAATCATAAAAAGCTTTCTCACAGGACCTTCTTGGCGGTCCAGTGCTTGGGAATCTGCCTGCTGATGCAGGGGACACCAATTTGATCCCTGGTCGGGGAAGATTCCACAAGCTGCTGGGCAACTAAGCCAATGAGCCACAACTACTGAGCCCGTGCACCTCAGAGCCTGTGCCCTGCAAGAGGGAAGCCACCTCAATGAGAAGCCCGTGAACTGAAACTAGAGAGTAGCCCCCACTCACCGCAACCAGAGAAAGCCCTCGATCAGCGACGAAGACCCAGCACAGCCAAAAAGAAATAAATAAAATGTATAAAATAACATTTAACAAAGAAAGAAATTGTTTAAAAAAAATTCTCACGTGACCTCTCAGCACTCAGCACCCCTCCTTCTAAGTACCTGCTATAAATCTATATTCCTTTGTAGGCTGTAAACTCCATAAGAGCAAGAATGGGAACCATCTTTTCTACTATTTTCTTTCACTACTCAGCATAAGCCTGCTCATTGTCCATTCTAGAGGATTATTTGTTAAAAGAATTAAAAAATTATTAGGGGGACTTCCCTGAGGGTCCCGTGATTAAAACTTAGCCCTCCAGAGCAGGAAGTCCAGGTTTGATTCCCTTGCTGTGAAGCTAAGATACCCACTCCAGTATTCTTGCCTGGAGAATTCCATGGACAGAGGAATGGGGTGAGCTACAGCCCATGGGGACCCAAGGAGTCAGACATGACTGAGCAATCAACTTTCCACAAGGGCAGAGTTGGGCTCCTTTTTTCCCATCATGCATCGCTTTATGTATGCATAAATATACATAAAAGGACTATGTATAAAAAAACATACGTAAAAAGACATACACAAAAGGACAATGTATTAAAACTTTAGTACAGAGACTTCCCTGGGGGTTCAGTGATTAAGACTCAGAGATCCCAATGCAGGGGTGCAGGTTTGATTCCTGGTTAGGAAACTGGATCCTGCATGCTGCAACTAAAGATTCTGTGTGCTGCAACTAAGACCTCGTGAAGCCAAACAAGTAAATAAATAGTTGTAAAAGTTTCAGTACTTTTTATCAAAATGGGTCCCTAATTGCTTAGTGATTTTAAAAATGCATAGATAAATAGAATCAAAAGATGAAGTGTACCACAAAGATCTCAGATGGGGAGCTAGCAAATGAAAGATAGTTTTTATATAGTTTTTATATAGTCAGAAATTAGTTCTAGAAATAGACTGAACTAAGAAAGACTGAATGTGAAAGATTGGATTTCAGTCTGAATTTATTAAATTCGCCTATGGAAAGAAACTAAACTACAATGGATACTTTATTGACCAACTGATCAACTTCTAATAAAAGTATGTGATAACCCTCACATTAACCATGGACATAGGTGAAGAGTGAAGGCTCCCAAAGGGAGCTATAATTGTTTTGTCAGTTCAGTTCAGTTCAGTTGCTCATTCATGTCTGACTCTTTGCGACCCCATGGAC